TTTAGCTATTACAAACTGTGCTGCTATACACATGGGTACACATATATCGCTGTGGTATGATTCTTTTACTTCTTTGGGGAAAACACCCAGCAGGGGAATAGCTGGGTCAAATGGGACCTCAAGCCCTAGTTCTTTGAGGTATCTCCACACTGATTTCCCCAGTGGTTGCACCAGTCTGCACTCCCACCAACAATGGAGAAGGGTTCCTTTCTCCCCACACCCCCGCCAGCGTGTTATTGGTTGATTTCTTGATAGTAGCCATTCTTTCTGGGGTGAGGTGGAATCTCAGTGTTGTTTTCATCTGCACCTCTCGAATGATCAGTGATTTTGAACATTTTTTCATATATTTATTTGCTGCTTTTACTTTTTTGTCTGAGAAATGTCTGCTCATTTCAGATGCCCATTTTTGAATTGGGTCTTTGAATTTGGGAGGTCTGATTTTTTTCAATTCTTTATATATTCTAGATAGCAGACCTTTGTTTGAGGTACAGCTGATATAATTTTTTTTCCCACGTTGTAGGTTGTCTCTTCATACTGTTGGTGGTTTCTCTTGCAGTGCAGAAGCTTTTTAATAAGAGGAGATTCCAGTTGTTGATTCTTTGTGCTAATGAGGTTTAGTTCATAAAGTCTTTTCCTATGCCAATGTCTTCAAGAGTTCTATCTAACCTCTGTTCCAGCCAGTTCAGCGTTTCTACTTTAATATTTAGATCTTTAATCCATTTTGATTTTACTTTAGTGCATGGTAAGAGATACAGGTCTAGTTTTAATCTTTGGCAAGTTGAAACTCAATTTTTCCAGCACTAATTATGAAAGAGGCTATCTTTCTTGCAGTTGAGGGTGTTTGGCTCCTTTGTCGAAGATGAGGTGGCTGAGTGTGTCTGGAGTTGTTTCTGCATCTTCTAGTCTGCTCCACTGGTCCTCAGGTCTGTTTCTTTGCCAGCACAATGCTGTTTTTATCACAGCAGCTTCGTAGTATAGTTTCAGGTTGGGTGTTCTGTCTGCCATGTCTCTGTTGATTAGAATTGCTTTTGCTATTCTGGGTCTCTTCTTGTTCCAAATGAATTTTTGGATTGTTCTCTCAAGGTCCATGAAGTACGCTGGTAGGATTTCAATTGGGATTGCATTGAAGCTATATAGCAGTTTTGGAAGTATGGTCATTTTCACTATGTTGATTCTTCTTACCCAGGAGCAAGGGATGTCTTTCCATTTACTGATACCATCTTCGATCTCTCTTTTCACAGTGTTATAGTTTTCAGAAAAGAGCACTTTGACTTCTTTTGTTAGGTTGATTCCTAGGTATTTCAGTTTTTTGGATGCTATTGTGAAAGGAATTGTTTGCCCTATTTCT